ACCAGTTTTATTTAAGAAAGGACTTGTATCGCCAAAGTTTCTTCGGAAAGAAATTATACAAAAAAAAATAACTAACGACGGAGGTATAACAATATACATATTTACTGTCAGAAGTTACAGCCATATCTAAAGATTAAATGTTTAGAGACGGCTTGAATGGATATTTAAGAAAATCTTATCATAAATGTACAACGTTTCGACAAGATTATGTTATCTTCAGGTATGAGTAGTTTACATACACAGGAATATATATATAGTATGAAACAATGTATGAATATATATATAGGTCACATGACCGGAGATTGCTTAACACCTTAGTAACTGTATCTTGGTACCCCGGGGTGTTGGTCAGACTTGGGCTCTTTTGTTGAGTTAAAATAACTTACTTTATTTTGTGTTTGATTCTTTATTTAAAATTTAGAATGTTTTCTATAGATATACTGTGGGGTTATTTTTTTGTTGTTGTTGCAATGGTGGTAAACATAGAAAGTTACTTTATTACGTTTGGTGAATCTGGTTTCCAATATTCTATCGGTTATTGGATATTATTTTATAAATGACATTGGAATTGTATGATTCTATATAAGTTATATTTAGTAATTATTTTTTACTTAGTGCCGGATTTTTGAATGAATTTGAAATCAACAGGCGTTTTATATCTAATGTCAAGTTTTCTCCAAGTTTTGGTTAATTTTGAATTGATGTATGGTATATTGCATTGTAATGTTGTGTTGTTGTTTGGTGTCAATTTCGTTTGTGAGTTGAGGTTTTTGTTCTGGTGGTTATGTAGAACATTAGAACATTGACGAAAGCAACTATGATGGAGATGACCAACCACAAGGTAAAGGGATAGCCAATGGTCAGAAAACAGGAAGCAAAGAGTATTACAATAGCACAAGTATAGCTGAGAAATTAGTCCCAACAAAGAGATGGGGTAACTGATTACATAAAATGAATAATAAAAATGGAAATAAGGAACTAATTACCATATTCTAGCATATTTATAGACCTTGTATACTACAATGTTTGATAATTTTTATTCCATAGGTAGTCTATCAATGTGCGATTATAGGGACAATGATTTTTATTACATGATAACTCAAAAACAAAACAATTGTGTAAACCAGTTTCACGGAGGTGACATAGTTTCAAACGGAGGATCGGATTTTATAAGTATTTTTTGTACACACATAAAACAGACTTTTGGATTATAATTAGATTTGAATGTAGTTTGGTAGAGTTCCTGATGAATGATACGGAGATACGCGCGCCCCATGCTGGCGCACAGAAATATAGCTAACAATTAAAGAAAAATGTAGGGATGCTATTTGCATCATCCCTTCATAATAACATAGGCAAAAATTAACATATAGCACTTGTATATATAATAACAAAGCTGTGACTCGTCTTATGCACCAAATAATAATTACAAGAATGTTTTTATTTCAAAATATTATTGAAAGTAACCGATTAGATAGTATCGCATCATGTTGATATAAACGTGTAATTATGAAAAAAAATTGACAAAATTATATGAAAATATAAACTAATAAATTATTTCTCCCTGTAATGATACTAAGTAAAAGTGCAAAAGTCTTTGAAAACATTCAGACGTTATTATTGTAATTGACAAACTGAAAAGATCGAACAACCTGCCATCTATGAGGTGTTATGTGAACTAAGCACCAATTCATTTTCCATTGGCATTCTGCCTGGCACGGCCCGGTGGTTAGGGCGCTCGACTCGCAATCTATGGGTCGCGGGTTCGAATCCCCGTCACACCAAACTGCTTGCCCTTTCAGCCGTGGGGGCGTTATAATGTGACGGTCAGTCCCACTTTTCGTTGATAAAAGAGTAACCCAAGAGTTGGCGGTGGGTGGTGATGACTAGCTGCCTCTCCTCTAGTCTTACACTGCTAAATTAGGGACGGCTAGCGCAGATAGCCACTCATGTAGCTTTACGCGAAGTTCATAACAAACAAACAAACCATTCTTTAGTTTATCTCTCCTTCAAAAAATGTATTACTTAAAGAGATTTATTATTTCAACAGTAAGTCACAAACGTTATTGACGTGGATAACCTTTTAGATTTGAGGCTAAATACGACTGGTCTTATTTTATGATACCTAACTATTACGATAAATTGCATGTTCACATATAAAAAAACCCACCTAAACCATTTAAATCATATTATATTGTAAACTTGTAAAACCAAAATCAAAAAAGATTAACCACTGAGATATGATGGAGAGTAACTATGCAGGAAAGAATGAACACTTTAACCATATAAAATTTATGTAATAACCGAATTTCATGTTTAGAAAGTGTAACTCTTAAAAAAAATTTCGTTTAATAAAAAACCGTTACACAAGTGGCCTAATTTCAACATGTAATTAAATCTTTAATGTTTTGACTTTCCCAAGAAGTTTTGATTTTTAGAGCATTTTATTTACCAATCTCGAAAAACATACGGAACGTCTTTTCAATACTCGTATGAAAGTGAAGAAAAACCTTCAACTGATGAACAACTGAAACTGTCCTCCTATTGAATATTTCATTGATTACCATATATGGACTGACCTTGAAAGGGGTCAGAGTAAATGCACAACCTCTGATTCTTATGTTACAATTAAAAAAATATTCAGCTAGAAACTAACAAATGCAAGGGGAGAACCTGACCCTCTCGGATCTATTAAGACCTACATCCCGATGCCGACTGTGTGTGTGTGTGTATATATATATATATATATATATATATCTGAGTATACCTGCTATTGTGTTTATTTACTGAAATATAACGAAAAAAATACAAAGTTTGTAGCTATTGATACTACCATATTTATTGACTGTCAGATAACGTAAGACATACATGAATACATAACCAAGAAGATATAATTCTGACTAAGCATTACTAAATTAGTCTAAATATTTTTAAAGCTTTTAAGTTTTAGAACTATTTACTGAATAGGGCTTTAGGTGAGTTTTCATCATTACACCTCAACTCCCGATACAGAGCCATCTGTATAAGAACAATAAAACATGATATAGTTTAACTATCATTATCATGTGATCATTCAATAGAATCATTCTCTGTATAACAACAATAAAAACATGATATAGTTTAACTATCATTATCATGTGATCATTCAATAGAATCATTCTCTGTATAACAACATTAAAACATGATATAGTTTAACTATTATTACTATGTGATCATTCAATAGAATCATTTGCCTGTATAACAACAATAAAACATGATATAGTTTAACTATCATTATTATGTGATCACTGAATAGAATCATTATCTGTATGACAACAATAAAACATGATATAGTTTAACTATTATTATGTGATCATTCAATATAATCATTATCTGTATGACAACAATAAAACATGATATAGTTTAACTATTATTATTATGTGATCATTCAATAGAATTCTTCTCTGTAAAGCAACATTAAAACATGATATGTTTTAACTATTATTATTATTATGTGATTATTCAATAGAATAAATGTTTGTATAACAACAATAAAACATGATATAGTTTAACTATTATTATTATGTGATTATTCAATAGAATAATTGTCTGTATAACAACAATAAAACATGATATAGTTTTATTATTATTATTATGTGATTATTCAATAGAATAATTGTCTGTATAACAACAATAAAACATGATATAGTTTAATTATTATTATTATGTGATTATTCAATAGAATAATTGTCTGTATAACAACAATATAGCATGATATGTTTTAACAATTGATCAGGTTACTCAAACTTCACCCACTCCTGAATCACAAGACATTTCAATCCAAACCACCACTACAAGGAGAAAAAAAGGCACCCAGACGCAGCCGCAAGTCTTTCCAGTAACCAACCATGCTTATCAGCAAACCAGTAACCCGCCACTCAGCCCCGAGCCACTTTCTACATCGTCGTCGTCAATCTCACTAAACGCCCTAGTTATTGACACCGATCTCTATCTACCCGACGAACCTTTCAATAAAACTTTGTCGAACATCAGGAGAACCACAACTCATTCAAAAGTTAATCCATCCATGTCCTATCGGTCGTTTAGTTTAGTTTAGCTTACGCTGCTCTTCACTTAATTTCCTGTTTCTAAAGCTAAGCCCATATTCCTAGGCCACGAGGAGGATTGCTTAATCTTCGAGTACCCTTGATTAGTAATTATTTCTTCGGAAATAATTATTTTTTAAATCAAAATAACTGCCAGAAACTAACGAATGAACCGGCGTCAATGAAGGAATGAATATATGATAAAACGAACCGTAGTTTCTTTGAGCTCCAGAAAGACTTCTGTTTCGAGCTAGCGTGATGTTTTGCACTCGTAGAAAACAAAATTATCGAGATTGTGAATCGCTGCGATTTATAGCGTGTATTATGAAGTTGTGAAGTTTAAAGTGACGAGAAACGTACTGACTGTGGAATTACCGTGTACTAAAGTTTGTATCGACAAATAATAAACTGGTTTAATCAAGAAGGGACTTGTATCGCTGAAGTTCCTCGGAAAGAATTTCTACCGGAAACAAACAAGGAGATACCCAACAATATATGTTTATATTGGAGACGACTCTTATGGGTAATAACAACTTTATAGTGTTTCAATAAAATCGTTCTCTGTGTGAGAACAATAAAACATGATATATGAATTACATATTAGAAAACACTATGTTTTTTTTTTAATTTCAGACATAATTTACCGATTGCACAGAGTAAAAATTTTGTTTACCACAATGTTTGTCCAGGTTTACCTGATTTCATCAATTAATGAAGTATGAAAATCATGAGAACATTTATAACAATGATAAGCTACAAAGCACCTGATTCAGCAGTTGTATAACTAATAAAGCATTTATCAATGAACTGTCAAATTTATAAATATAAAAACAAGATTTAAGGCCTAAGCCTGTGTAGGGAAGTTTGTTTTATATGGAAAAGAGAGCAAATAAAATAGACATAAATAAACATAACTGTATTGATTAAGAATAGGATTTTGTTTTTTATTAACAGGGGTTGTGTTATATTCTGTTTGCTGATGTTGTTGTTTTGTTTGTTTGTTTTTCTCCTAAAGAATTTTGCCTCAGAAGATCCAAAGAGTGATTGTCCCTAGACGTGTGTTAAAAAACATGACACGGAGATTTTATATTAGTCGCAATCAGTAAAAAGCTGCTATATTGGAGAGATAAACAGTAATGGTTAATAACACTAACAAATGTAGAAGTGGTTAATAAGAGTTATAAAACTAGAAAAAAATGGTTAATAATAGTTAAAAAACTAGAAAAGAAAGTGGTTAATAATAGTTAAAAAACTAGAAAAGAAAGTGGTTAATAATAGTTAAAACACTAAAAAAATGGTTAGTGACAGTAAGAAACACTAAAATGAAAGTGGTAAATAATAATAAAAACACTAGAAAAGATTGCGGCTAATAATAGTTAAAAACGCTAGAAAAAAAAGTGGTTAGTCACATTGAAAACACATTGGAAAAAAGTGGTTAATAATAGTTAAAACACTAGAAAAAGGGAAATTTATTAGTAACAGTTAATAATGCTGGAAAAAAGTATGTATTTTGTGTTTATTGTACTGCTTCTAGTGTAGGCTACCATTGTTCCTAATTTTAAACTACTGACCAGAAAGAGGAAATAACAGCAGAATCCTACCACCTATGCTAAGGGATTGACTGTCACTCTTATAACGTTCCCACGGCGAGAAACATTTCATGGTTTCAAATCTGGTTCTCCAACTCTGAAATACAGGGATCTACCACAGAGCCAACCTGTGTGGTAGTAGTAGTAGTTAATGATACAATAAAAAGAGGAATAGTTGTAATGGTTAATAAACCTAAACCTGCCTTTCATGTATCTTCAAAAAATCCATACATATGAACTCATTAACAATTACTGTCTACCTCTGTCTTGAGAAAATCCATCCACATAATCTATCCGTTTTCCATCAAATCAGTCCACATGATCTTATTAATAACCCCTCTCTGGACTTTCAAGAAAGTTCTCCTACATGAAATGGTCGCTACATGATGTTTCTCTGCCCAATAAATATGCCTGGTATAAAACACAGCATGCTCCATCTCTTCATCGCTACATGATGTTTCTCTGCCCAATAAATATGCCTGGAATAAAACACAGCATGCTCCATCTCTTCATCGCTACATGATGTTTCTCTAACCAATAAATATGCCTGGTATAAAACACAACATGCTCCATCTCTTCATCGTTACATGATGTTTCTCTGCCCAATAAATATGCCTGGTATAAAACACAACATGCTCCATCTCTTCATCGTTACATGATGTTTC